CTCAAGGCTATTTACGTATCTTTTCTCTCTTCTTCATTTATCTTCTAGTAAGTAAGCTCCTTGCAGTTCAAAAACCTGATTTTGTGATCTGCTAAGCATGGCCCATAAATTTTAACGGCAGGAACCCGGTGTACCTTGCTGCCGGAGGTTTTGCTTCCTGACCTACTGGTGTGCAAACGTAGGAAGACATGGAGATGAGGATGACGGATCTAATTCCATCACTTATTAGTATTTAATTTGACAAAAGTGAGCTAAATTTACTTGCATCTGAAAACTGTGGATAATTCATCTTTCAAGTATGAGAATTTGACATAATGCGTTTTAAATTATCTAGCAATCAGAAACTACAATCAATGGTAGTTTAAAGGAAATTGACCCATTGTGAAATTTGATGTTTGGGCTTTAAAAAAAAATCAATCTTGAGGCTGGGGATGTAGCTTAGTAATAAAGCATGTGCTTAGCAGGTATGAAGCCCTGGGGGCTCAATATAATAGGCACCAAATATGAAAAGAATAAAACCAAACCAAAAGCAAAAAACCTGTCTTTCTTAACATTTAGAAACCAACTGGAAGTGTATTGTGAACATGGTACAGTTTTGACACTTTGGACTCTCACACTGCTTCTAGGTGGTTATTCCAAAAACAAGCCTTGTGAATTTGCTGGCCATTTGACAGATGAGGAAACTGAGGCTTAGCCCAAGTGGGCACTTATGTAAAGTGGTAAAGTGACAGTCTCAAGGACTGCTGTGCAGGACCAGAGCTACAGATGGTAGACTTCCAACCAAAATCAATTCGGAACTGATGAAAATTTCTTATTCTATATACTGTTTTCAGTCTGAGTTACACAAATAAATAACATAAGGGATTTGGGGGAGAGAAGAGGGGGTAAAGGGAAAGAGGGAGAGACAGACAGAATATTTCCTTAGGGCAAAACTCTTCAACAGACAAATGGATGAGCAAGCATATTGCAAAGCTCACTAGGCCTTTAGGAAAGACCTGTGGGTTTGAAGCAGACCAGGGAGGCAGGAGACCAGATGACTAAGGTTTCTTTCAGAATGAGTCTAAGAGCCAGGATTTCTACACTTCCAGCTCATACTAACAGCAGGCATCATGTGCACAAAATCCAGTTGCACACTAAACTCCCCTTGTGGAACGTCTTAGTGAGCTTCAGGGAATACAAATTCCTGGGTTACAATGCGAAGAAAGCTGTTCACTTATCAACACATTAGCTGTGATAGCCCAGTCTCGGTGCTGCACACCTCTGATCTCACCACTCGGGAAGCTGACGCAGGACTACTGAACTAGAACTCACAGGAGGATGGACCTTCCTCCTGTTAGGGTTACGTCGAAAACAACCCCTACCCGCAGTCTCAAGGGGTCAGAGCTAGGACTTTCATAAGGTGACTGGGTTGTGAGGGTGCTACACTCACCAGTGGTCTAGTCCATTGATAGGCTCACAGCTGAATGTGTTCAGAGACAGCCCTGGCTTCTTCCTGCCCGGAATTCTAGCTGTCATGAAGCGAGCAGCTCTGTTCTCACTCTCTTCCTCCACAATGTTGTTCACTGGAACCAGCTGACCACAGACTGAAACACATGCAAGAACAGTTCCCAAAGCCCTGCATGTGGACTTCTCTTGAGAATTTGATTTTTTTCTTTTTTAATCAGATTTTATTGGTAATTTTAGATATACATAAGGATCACATTCCTTTTGAGAATTTGTACTTGTAACTTATTTTTCCCCACTCCCCTACCCTCTTTAACCTCTCCTCCTTCCATCCCCATTTATAAAATTGTTTCCATTTTTTCTCATTTAAAAAAATTTTTCCTTTTCTTTTTCCCCTTCTCTTCCCCATTTCAACATTTTTTTCCTATTTCATAATAATTATACTTTTGGTCCTTATTTACTTTGTTTCTCATACCAGAGAAGCAATGTGGTATTTACACAACTGTCCAGTTTCTTTCACTCAAGAGTATGGTCTCAAGATGCATCCATTTACCTAGACATGTCTTGAGCTTATCCTTCTTTATGGCAGAGTAGTACTCCATTGTATAAAATAACACCATTATCCATCAGTTGGTGGGCATCCGGGCAGCTTCCAAGATTTGGCTATTACAAACTGTGCCGCTATAAAGCATGGACGTGCATATACCACTGTGACTGGATGCTTTTAATTCTTTTAGGATGACACTAAGAAGAGGAATAGTGGAGATGAATGGAAGGAACCTCCAGTCCTGTTGATGGCTTAGACCTGACCTTGAGGTGAGGTCCTCAAGGACCCAATTGGAGATGTTCTTGCCAGTTTTGAGACTTGGGCTACATAAAAGACACAGAAGCCAAGAAAAACTTGCTATTGTAGCTTTCCTCACGATAGTCTACCCTTTCTTCCAGGGAGTTCATCTTGCTTTTGCTTTTACTTGGTCCAAGCTTACTCTGCAGAGCCATTTTCTCTCTTCACGTTTACTTTTCTACTAAACTTTGCCACTGCTTCATGCTCATTCATTCAATTCTTTGAAATGAGAATTTGGAATCTAACTCCACAAGGAAAAGCAAACAGCCCAGAACCTGGTAACATTTTGGTGAAGACAGTCAGCAGAATCAAAAATCACTGGATTCTGCTAATACAGGATTCTAAAAACATCTTAGAGCTGCCTAGGCATTTCCCAGGAATACGAGCTCTAATTCTATTAAATTTACAACAAAAAGTCACCAAATTAGGAAACTTGACTTAATAATTTCTGCACTTTTTTTTTTTGTACTAAGGATCCAACTTAGAACCCTGTGCTTACAAGGCAGACACTTATGCTGCTGAGCTAAATCCTTGACTGTTAAGCTGTTTGTTATGTGTAGAAAATGGAGTTCACTAGGTTGCAGAACAAGCAGAAAATTCGGAAGCTTGAAAAACTGTGCAGGTAGATAATCAAAATGGCTGTTTTCAGGATGCTTGGATTCTAATTGTGGTTACCTGGGGCAGTCACAGAACATCAATCTGTCTGTTTTTCCTTCTGTAATACGGGGAAAATAAACTCTAGTCATGTCACCATGTTGCTAGGATTATATGTAATAACATGTACAGAACCTGATGTGGAAGAAATTCATGTTTTGCTATTAACAGTCACTATTATGATTTATAAAGTACTATGATTTACTTATACCCCCCAAACCCAAACGTTGCCTAGTGGAAGTTCACTGGGGTGTCTTTTGAAGATATTTGGACCCCACTCTTTTTCTTTGCTTCCTAGCTGCCATTAGCTGAGCAGCTTCCAGTAAATATGCACCAAACACGAAATACCACCTACAACTGGCCCAACCACAACAGGTCAACACATCATGCAGCAAAGCCTCAAAGCTGTTGAGCCAAAATCAACTTTTTGACTTAAATTTAAATCACCAAAAAAACATTTTCCAACAGGGAAAATGATAGGATTTCTGGTGAATCAGGTTAATACTTTTCCAAGTGAGGACAGAATTCTCTTCTTCTGTTGATAAAATTAAAATTTTTGCTTCGCTCAAAGAGAGACAGTGATTATATGACTTTTAAGGCTCCAAAATGGAAGTCTTAACTACATACATTTTTAGATTAAAACTTTTCTGTTGGGCATGGTGATGCATTCCTGTAATCCCAGCACCTGAGAGGCTGAGGCAGAGAATCACCGTGAGTTTGAGGCCAGCCTGGGCAAATGGTGATTTCAAGGTCAGTCTGAAATGTATACAAAGACACCATCTCGAAAAGATTTTTTCTTAGTTGGCTAAAATGTCGTTACTGAGCAAGGCTGGTCTAACTTTTGCCATATTGGATGGGAAAAGACTAAGCAAGAATAATTTCACAAGCTCTTTAAAGTAGGCATTAAGAATCCATCCATTAGCAAACCATAAGTAGAGCTAGCAAAATTAGGTAAAAGAAATGGACATGACGTGTGGCAGTGAATATCTGTAATCTCAGCACTCAGGAGGCTGAGGCAGGATTCTAAGTTCCTGTCCAGCCTGGGCAACTTTAAATAAAACCCTGCCGCAAAATTTAATAAACAAAGGACTGGGATGTAGCCCAGTGCTAAGGGCCCGGCCGGGTGCGTGCTCCTGTATTAAGAGGGAAAAAAAACAAAGGGGGAGGGGAATAATGGGGGAAAATTGTCAGAAGTACTGGCAAATTATTTAGCTGTTATTTTCATGTAATTTTCTATTAATTATACCCAAGGGATATGATTAAAACATCTGTTTCCTAAGGTTTATAAAGGACTCTAAGTGCATGTGAATGGTTAAGATCAAGTTCTCAGCTATTCCTGAGGCTGAGGCAGGAAAAATTACAGGTTTCAAGTTAGCCTGGGGTACCTTGGCAACAATACTGTCTCATTATAAAAAGGTCTGGGGATGTAAACTGGCATTCCCAGAGTTCAATCCTGAATTTCAGTTAAGTGGGAAGTTATTCCCTAGAATTGTCTCAAGGGTTCATTTGTTATCCTTTAGATGCTGATAATTTTTTCTTCCAGTCCAAGGATTTATTTGAACATTAAACATTCACTGAATACAAAAGACTCAACAGCATTGTTTTAAAAATAATTTCTGGCCTCTATGGTGCTGAGGACTGAACCTAGGGTCATGCACATACAAGGCAAGTACTCTAAATTATATCCCAAGTCCTTGAAAATACTTAATACAAAATAATTTAAAAATTTTTTTCAGTAATCAAATATCCAATACTATTTGAAACAGTACTCAAAGTATCTAGAAACGTCATTTAACATCAATATAAATTCAAAAGTAAATAAACTAGGGGCTGGGGATTTAGCTCAGTGGCATAAGCACCTGCCTTGCAAGCGGGCGGTCATGAGTTCGATCCCTGGTACCAGAAAAAAGAAAGAAAAAAAAAAAGTAAATAAACTGGAGCTTGTATTTAAAAAAGAAAGTGATGCGATCTATTGATAGAAGAAAAGACTCAGGTAAGGGCAGCACTCAGCTACTAGTAAGGGTATGCAGAAACTTTTAAATATAAGCTACAGTTCAGCAGCTTTTAAAATTTCATGTTTATTCATATTTTTCAAAATATATGTACATAAAAAAAGGAAGATTTACAACAGGAAAGATTGCCTTACATGCAACACAAATTCCAACAAATGCATGACGGGATCACACATGATTATGATCTAATCCAAGCCAATCTTCTCAAGTCCATTTCTCAGCCACACTCAAGCTGCAGATGGGATCCCAGCAGACAATGCAAGTGGAATGAGTAGGAAACAAACACCTTTTGATTCTGGCAGCCCTCAGGGCCCAGAAGTACGCCAAAGAGTTAAGACAATTAATATGTCAAGTGCCACAGGGAAGAGAAACAACAACCAGAAAACTGGTATTTCTTGAGTAGAAAGCTAGTACTATTTTAACACAACTTCACAATACTAAAACAAACACAAATAAAAAAGGGTTAGGTAGTAGGGCTTCATTTGCTTTTCTTTTTCTTTAAAATATCTGAAAAAGGAAGCCAATTAATTGATATCAAAAGTGTTTTCGAAAGAAAGGGGAAAAAAATCCACAGATGAATCTGGAATCTATTTTATTTAAGCAAACCGTATGTTTTTCCACTTAACATTTCTACATTTGTAACTCTCCAATACTTCCTCATAAAAAAGGCAAACAGTGACAACTCATGCTTCAAATACTAAAAAATATATTTAAACATCTGATCAAGAAGGTTTTGTTTTTTTGATTTTTGGTAACAGAGGTGACACTGGAAACTGGATTCACAATATTCTTGTATTTCCCCTGCAGTCAGAACCAAGTAGTAGAGAGTTCTTGTGCTTGCTGTGAAGGGAATGCAATGCTCTGGGTCAGAGAACAATTCCTGTAACTTTGTCAATGTGAAGAGGCCCAAAACAGTCGTGCATCCTCAGAAACAAAGGTGATCACAATATTTTCAGGTTATTTCCAAAGCTAAGTTGTCTCTGTTCATAGTTGGAGAGAGAGGGTTAGTGAAGTAACTTTTATAAGATGGGGAACAGCAAGAGCCAGAGGAGGAGAGAGGCACCAAAGCTTATTACCATTAAAAAAAAAAAAAAAAAAAGAGGTTGGGTAGGAGGGACAAAAAGATTATATAGTTCAGGAGAGTCCCAGATTATGGCAGAAATTAATATGATTGGGGAAGGGGTAGGCACCAAAAACAGCACCTAAAGCTAACAAATGCCTAAATTGGTTATATTCCCTCCCTGCAATGTTCATATGGGAGGAAAAAGAAATTTTATAAGCATCAAAACTAAAAACAAATGCACACTGACCTTATAAAATAAGATTTTGAACTTTATCATGATACCTTTTCTTGCTATAAAATTTACTTTTTTGTTTTGAAGGACTTCTTCATGGTGGATTTACCCTTGCCAGGTAATTTTACTTCCTTTCTCACCACACTGGCTGCCGGCTTCTTTGAGGAGCTACCACTACGTTTCTTGATGACTGAGGCTGAGAGTCTGCCTTTCTTGGCAGGAGTTTTGGCCTTAGGAGGAGGAGCTTTCCTGGGCAGGGGTCTAACTTTGCCTCGCTGGGAAGCTGGGACTTTAGGTGCAGGCTTTGACCCTCTCTGCTTCATGGGTGCCACTTTCCTTCGGGACTTGGCTGGAGTTTTCTTTTGCAACCTATGAAGACAAAAAAGCAAAAGGAAGTCACTTAGTACATGAAAAGATTCACTTTGCCAGGACGCCCAGGTGCTTTGACTAAAGAGAAATGGCACAGAGATCTCATCTATGTTAAGAATATGACTGGGGCTGGGGGTTTAGCTCAGCGGCATAAGCGCCTGCCTTGCAAGCAGGGAGTCGTGAGTTCGATTCCCGGTACCGATAAAAAGAAAAAAAGACCAAAAAAAAAAAAGAATTTTAATGAACTAGAGAAGTTCATTAAAATTGCATAAAAATTCTATCAATTCGTAGAAATTATTCATAATGCCGTATTTTCCCTAGGAAAATACGAAACTATTTTTCTGTAAATAATTATGGATATATACAAGTTTTTTCAAGGAGTACGTTATATACTCAAATAGCTTTTTTTTTTTTTTTCCGTACTGGCGATGGAACTCATGACTTCATGCTTGCCCAGCAGGCGCTTATACCACTGAGTTAATCCCTAGCCCTCAAATAGCTTTAAATTTCAAATTCAGTGTCACTGAGTTTTCAAGAGAGGATAAATTCTAATGTTTTACAAAGAACCTGGGGACAAGCCTAAGTGGCAAAAACACACTTCTGCCTTCAGGATCTGTATCAGTATCAGTTTGTACTCTTAAGATTTTTTTTTTTTTTTTTTTTTGGTGCTGGGGATTGAAAGAACTAAGGACTACTTAACTACATCCATAACTCTTTCTATTCTTTTGAGACAGGATCTTGGCTAAACTGCTCAGGCTAGCCTCAAAACTTGTCCTGCCTCAGTCTCTTAAGTAGCTGGAATACCAAATATACATCACCAAGCCTGGCTAAGACATTTATCATCCCGCCCAACAAGGGTTTTTTCACACATCCACACCTTCTCTTAGGTGGTGGTTCTTCATCCTCAGAGTCTTCTGATGACTCATCTTCATCTTCATCCTCATCCTCATCCTCATCTTTAGAATCATCTGGCTCTTTCTTTGGAAATAAAATTCCTGGGCTGAAGGAAAACAAGACAGAACAAAGTCTCCCAGAAGTTCCACACAGGACAAGGAAAAGAATGTTAAACTATGTACTTCTCCTTGGACGTTTCTCATTTCTGTCTTCATCTCTCAAAAAATGTGAAGTTAGCTTATAAATTTTAGGTTATACTTTAACCTATTTTTTAACATACAAAGTCATGACAAACCTATGAAAGTCCCAGAGCATATCTTATTCCCTTCCTACTACCATTTTAAAACTCATCTTTACTCAGGTTTGTAATCTTAGTTTGTTTTTTGACAGGGTTTCACTATGTGGATGTCACCCAGGCTGGCCTTGAACTCATGGTGATCCTCCTGCCTCAGCTTCCTGAGTGCTGAGAGAATAGGCATGAGCCATCACATCCGCTTGCACTCACATACTTGCTAAGCATTTATTAAACTCTTATATCTACACTGTGTCAGCCACTACATATACAGCAACAAATGTTCTATAAGATAGTAAATAGTCCACATAGCAGTATAGACCTTTTGGCTTAATAGTACTGGCAAAAGCTGGATATGGTGGCATACCCTTGTAATACCAGTACTTAGGAGGCTAAGGCAGAGGGACAATGAGTTGGTGAGACCCTGTTTCAAAAGTTACCAAAAATAGGGGCTGGGGATTTAGCTCAACAGCATAAGCGCCTGCCTTGTAAGCAGGCAGTCATGAGTTCGATCCCTGGTACCGATAAAAACGAAAAAGACAAAAAAAAAAAAAAAATTTATATATATATATATGTATATGTACATATATGTATAAAAGTCACCAAAAATAAATACATAGGATTGGGGATGTATCTCAGTGTGAAGGCCCCGGATTACATTCCTGGGACTGCAGAAACAAAATAAAACTGGCAGAAGACCTCAAAAGTTTAAATATCTCCAAAATTTTTGTGAAATTCAGCAAGGATCCCCTGTCTTCTTGGTCCTTCATGTCAGAAATCTTGATCCCTGTGATTTATATGCCCTTAAACTGTAACATTTTATGTGTATGGCTTTAAGTATGAAAGTTAATGGTTATCTGGGCATGGTAAAGAATGCCTGCAATTCCAGCTGCCAGAAGGCTGAGACAGAAGACTTCCAAATTCAAGGTAAGCGTGGGCAAATTAGCAAGATAATGTCTCAAAAATAAAAAGGGCTGGGAATATAGCATTCCTTGGGTTTAAATCTTTAACACCACCATCACCACAAAAAAAAAAAAAAAAAAGAGAGAGAAAAAAACCTTAATATTTGAAAAGTCATTCATTCAACCAAATAACCTAAGAAAGTAACACTGTAGTGTTGCTAAAACAAGGTTTTAGTGGTTCATGTCATATGACTTTATTAGGAGTAAACTCATAAGGACAAGAACATCAACACACAGAACAATGTATAGCCTAGAAGAGGCACTGAATAAATAAAATATTTGGAAAAGACAGGTTTGCAAATAAATGTCCCTGTTTCTAAAGTATGAAGGCAGAGTGTGGATTCTAGAAAGCAGTCACTGTTCTCCCCACTTGGTACTGGACAATTAGGATTACATATAATTCTCTTGATAGTCGTCTATCATTATCATTTAAACATATAAGCTGGACATGATCGCCTATTCCTGCAATCCCAGTACTTAGGAGGCTGAGGCAGGAAGATTGCCATGAGTTCAAGGCCAACATGGGCTACATCATAGTGAGTTTAAGGCCAGCCTGTACTGCAAAGAGTCTCCAAAAATCAATCAACCAACCAACCAACCAACCAACCAAAAAAACCAAAAAGAAAAAGACCAAAGAAGGAACACTGAAACAATTATCCAAAGATCTCAAAGAATCTGATGCTTGGTTTCAGCAACAATTGACTAATAGTAATAAGCTCTAGAATAGCCAAAACTCCTTTATGGTTATGTTGGAACCTTTTTACTCTAAATGATTATTTAAGGTCTTTTATGTTCAAATTATTTCTAGTTCAATGTATGGTGTGAGGATAAAATAAATTTAACCAAGCCTGTAACTTAAGTCAGATTTGAAATTTATAATGACCACTGCTTTATTTAGGGCTAAGTGCTCACCTGGGGTAATAAGGAAAACAGAGTTGGAAGGTGCCACTGAATCCTTTACCAGAGATCTGCTCCATCCACCCATTCTTCTCACATTTCTGCAGAGTTTTCTTCAGCAAATGCACTAAACAAAAATCCAGGAACGAAAAAAGTAAATTAGCTATTCAGATTTGGTAATTCTCTCAACCACAGTAACATGTTCATTAATTCAATGTCCTATCACATACAGTAACTGACATGTGTGAATGGAAACCTGTGTGACCAAATGTATGGATTTAGTTCACTAAATATTTATTCAGTGCCCATAAATTTGGCAAATATTCACAGAAACAGGAGAAAATATTCAGGAAATAGAGTCTATATAGTAGTTAAAGACTTTACCCCAAGGAGGTAAGTGACTAGTTCTAAGACAACACAAAAATGGTTAAGTACAGACCTAAAATATTACATATTTTCCATTCACTCAAAAGTCCATGTATCTACTGTATACAATACTGGTACTCACAATCTTCTAGGAGAACTACCTATAAAGATGAAGAGAACACATTCCTCATAAATCAGCAAACTATAACAAAACAGTATCATGCCTAAAGGCTTCATCATCTTATATTTCACACAGAGATATCAAAAACATATGATGATTTAATGTCTAAATACAGCTGCAAAATCAATGATACTGAAGAGACTAGTAATTACTGGCCAGCCAGGTATGGTGGTGCAGCCTGTAATCCCAGTACTTGGGAAGCTGAGGCAGGAAGATCACTGCAAGTTCCAAACCAATGAGTTCAGTATCAGCCTGAACATACATAGCAAGACTTTGTATCAAAACAAACGAACAAAAAAAAACAGACAAAAACGCACATTTGAGCAAAAGAGAGAATCACAACATAGCCTACAAGCGGTAATAAGCACAACTAACTACAATACATATCTTTAGTATTGCAAGGAAAAGATAAAAATACAAGTTCCCAAGTAGAAAAACAGCATCTTTTGTAACATTTAAAAATGAATATTGCATATTGAATATGTTAAGTCCTGGTTAAATGCATACAACTCTGACTCTTACTTTGGTAATTAGAATTGGTCCCTGGGTGGTTCTCCAGGACATACTTCTTCAGAGCAGTGATGGAGCAGGTCTTCGGCTCATTCATGGCAGCAATGGCAGACAAGATTGCATATTCCATTGGGCTTCCACCAAGCAGGGGTTTCTCCCCTGATTTCTTCAGCTGTTTTCCAAGGAGGAAGAGAAAAGCATCAAGACAACACTCCCAAAGCAGCTCAAGACAAGACTCCTCTGCACCAGGTGGGTCGGAGCTCCTGCATTAGCACAGATACGTTTTACAATAAATTGTCAGGTTAGGGACTTTCTCTTCTCATTCACCAGGTAGTCAACCTAACTGAGAAGTCTCAACCCTCTAAAGGTTATTTTCTCTATCTACTAAAATAGCCAACCTAAAATAGCCAACCTAACTCAAAGATATGGACAGTTCCACCCTAATGAGAGGTTAACTTGCTAAACCTTCAATAAACTAAGACTCTTTGAAAAATACTTCCTTTTAATGCATCAAAAATATCAGTTATATTAAGAAATAACATTAATACTGTAAGGAAAATAAGAAAAAATCTGATAAATATTTAAGGGTATCATGTAATAGAAAATTATACAGCATATTTAAAGCTGAAAGACTGAGAAACAAAGATTAGCACTGATAAGAGAAAGAATGAATGGCTGGGGATTTAACTCAGTGGCACAAGCATCTGCCTGACAAGCTTGAGATCATGAGATCAATTCCCAGTACAGGGTTCCTTAACAGTGGTTCAAAAATATATACCTAGAGGTTCTTGAGATTCTTTTCAGAGGATCTGAAGGTCAAAACTATTTTCATAATGAAATGAACATGTGATCTACCTTTAATTGTGCTGACGTTTGCACTGATGGTACAAAATCAATGATTGATAAAAACTGCTACCATCTTACCATAAATCAAGGTAGAGGCACAAAAATCTTCAAGTGATTTTCTTCTCTGTCACACAGTTAAAAAAAGAAACTTGTCTTGGGGCTGGGGATTTAACTCAGTGGCACAAGCACCTGCCTGGCAAGTGCAAGGTCATGCATTCAATCCCCAGTACCTTAAAAAAAAAAAAAGGTTGGGGATATAGTTTAGCATAAAGTTCTTGGGAATCAATCCCCAGTACTATGAGGAAAAAGCCCTTGGTGAAATAGCAAAACAATTATTTTTAGGGCTGGGGATGTAACTCACAGGGGCACAGTGCCTGCCCGGCAAGTGCAAAGGGCATGGGTTTAATCTCCAGTGCTGGAAACACTTAAAAATTTATTTTTAAAATCTCAACTCAAATGTACATCTTTTTAATATTCATGGGATGGAATAGGAAGATGGATAAAATATCTGCTATGCATAAAGGTACAACTGTGTTTTTAAGAAAACTCACCTGTGTGAGCTGAACTAGCTATATTTTTATGGAATTTCCTTTTTACTTGAAGGAATGACTGATGGATAAACTATGATTATTCAGACTGTGAGATGAGATAAACATCATCTTGAAAATGAATTAAATGAGCCTCTCCAACAAAAACAACAGTATTTGTTGCTAATGGCAAAGATCAAATGAAAATTTAAATCCTGGAAAACTTCACTACGTACCACTGTGAGATTAATATCCTCCTAAGACCATCACTATTACAAGATTAGGGACTGAAATACAAATAGTTGTGAAATTTTGTTACCACCATATGATGAAATGACAAAGATCTGAAAACTTTGCATCACTCAGTAAACCACTATTTTCTTTCTTTTTTTATTTTTTGGTACCAGGGATCAAACTCATGACCTTGCGCTTACAAGGCAGGCCCTTATGCCACTGAGCTAAACCCCTGGCCCTAAAACCACCATTTTCTAAATAACTAATGCATGCTTGGTTAGCAGACTCAATTCAAAGATCAAGACAGATCAATTAATTTTAAGATAACAGAGTACAAGAAGCTCATTAATATGAGGTTCTATGTGATAACTAACCTTTAAGGAATTAGCATAAAAATCAATGTAACATTAACAAATAAAAGTAAATGGGGCTGGGGATCCTAAGAAATTTACCAAAAATCTCTACCAGAACTAGTAAATGTGTTTGTCAAGGTCACAGGACAGGCAGGATCAGTGGCACATGCCTGTTAACCCCAGCACTCAGGAGGCTAAGGCAGGAGGATTGCGTCAAGTCTGAGACTAGTCTGGATTCCCCAATGAGTTCAAAGCCAGTATGAACTATATAGTGAGACACTGTCACAAAACAAAACAAAACAAGTCACAGAATACAAGAATGGACAAATCAAACTTGTGTTTCTACAAGTTAGCAGAATATGAAGATGAAAATAAGAAACCAATTCCATTCATTACAGTATGCAGAATAACATAGGATTAAATTAAGAGAAGAAATTCAGTATCTGTAGACTGAAAACTACAAAACACTAAGAAATTGCATAAATGAGATGTTGGATATTCATGGATAGAAAAACTTGACAAGGAGTACAAAACAGAGCTGGAATATAGCTCAGCAGCACAGCACCTGGCTGGCAAGCATGAGGTTCTGAGGTCGATACCCAGTAACCACCACCCCACCAAAAAAACCAAAGTAAATGATAATAGTTTTCTCCAAACTGACCTACAGATTCAATGCATTTCTACTAAAATCCCAACACACCCCCAATATATGGGACTTAAGATTTAAAACAAACACCCAAGACTGAAAATAGTCTAGGGGCTGGGGATTTAGCTCAGTGGCATAAGCACTTGCCTTGCAAGCAGGCAGTCGGGAGTTCGATCCCTGATACCGATAAAAAGGAAAAAGACAAAAAAAAAAAGTCTAAACACTCTTTGAAAAGAGGACAATAATGTCAAATTTCAAAGCCCGCTATAAAGATAAAGTCATCAAGACAATGTGGTGTGCTAACATTTTAGGGATTTCCATATAGACCACAGAACAATCCAAAAATAAATCCTTTTTATAGTAAACTGATGTGCTACAAGGTGTGAATTCAATGAGGAAGAGATAAAGGGTGCTAGGAAACTACAGATACCTACATGTAAAAAGATGAATTACAGTCTAGCCTTACTTCATGTTATAAACAAAACTCAGTATACAGCACAGGTTAAAACTACAAAACTTAAAGGAATTAATAAAACTCTTAAAACATATGAGTGCATTTTTGTGGCATCAAGTCAGGTAGCAGATCAGTGACACCATAATTTTAAAAAGCTGATTAAGGGGCTGGGGATTTAGCTCAGCAGCATAAGCGCCTGCCTTGCAAGCAGGCAGTCGTGAGTTCGATCCCTGGTACCGATAAAAAGGAAAAAGACAAAAAATAAATAAATAAATAAATAAATAAATAAAAATAAAAATAAAAATAAAAAGCTGATTAAAAAGAAAGACTTCAAGCCAGGTGTGATGGCACATGTCTGTAATCCCAGCACTTGGAAAGCTGACACAGGAGGACTGTTGCAAGTTCAAGACCAGCCTGGGATACAGTGAGCCCAAGGAGGGGGGAGAGGAAGAGGAAGGGGGAGAGGGAGAGGAACAGAGGGGGAGAAAGAGGGAGAGAGAGAGGAAGAGAGGGGAGAGAGAGGGAAAGAAAGGGAGAGAAAGGGAGGGAGAGAGAGGGAGAGATAGGGGGAGAGGGGAGGGAGAGAGGGAGGGAGAGGGAGAGAAGGAGGGAGGGAAAGAGAGGGAGAGAGAGAGAGAGAAAGAGAAAGAGAGAGATACACAATCCACAGTTTGGGAAGAAATTTTTGCCAACTGTTCCTCAAACAACTACTATCTAAAATATATAAAACTCCAAAAAAAAAAAAAAAATCAAACCTCCAAAATTTAAAGATTCAATCCAAAAATGGGCATCTGAGATGACTGTATACTTATCAGATGAAGAGTACAAACAGCAAGTTTATATATGAAAAATGTTCAACACTACTGGTCATTTGAAAGATGCAAATTAAAACAACACCGACTCCACCTGACTCCAGGAAGAATGGCTACTATCAAGAAATACTGGTGGGGGAGTGGGGGAAAGAAACCATTCTCCACTGTAGGTAGGAGTGTACACTGGAGCAACCACTGTGGACATCAGTGTGGTGATTCCTCAAAGACCTAGGACTAAGGTTCCATTTGACTCAGCTATTTCCCTTCTTGGTATCTTCCTGAAAGAATTAAAAGCATCATACCACCATGATACATGCACACCCATGTTTATAGCAGTACAGTTTGTAACAGCCAAATCTTTGGAAACAGCACATTAATTTGTGCATGGATAAAGATGTGGATTCTTTTGTACAATGGAGTTCTACTGTGCCATAAAGAAGGATAAGCTCAAAACATGTCTAGGTAAATGGATGCATCTTGAGACCACACTCTTGAGTGAAATAAGTTGGACACTTGTGTAAATACCACATTCTCTGGTGTGAGAAATTGAAAGTATAAATAAGGACCGAAATGTATACTAAATATTGTGAAATAGGAAAAAAATGTTCAAATGGGGAGAAGAATGACAGGGGTGGTGAAAGAATGGAAAAGTGAAAAAAAAAAAAAAAAGGAAAAGATAGAAATAAAGCCTTTGTAAATGGGAAGGGAGGAGGGGAATGGGGAAAAGAAACAAGTTATATCATGTACAGGTACAAATTCTCTATGACAAATGAAATCGTCATGGGTATCTAAAATGGACCAATAAAATCTAGAGAAAAAAAAAAAGAAACAGTAACTCATCATTCCCTTAATAAATCTATGAAAGGGGGAAAAAAGTCTCAGAATAGAAGAAAATCTTTCCAAGTCATGTTATCTGATGAGTGACTCCCCACTGGTGCTTGGGATCAAACCCAATCTCCTACCCATGCTAGGTAACCACTCTAGCCCCTGAGCAGAACTACATCCTGAGCCCTTTCATTTTTAGACAAGCCTTGCTAAGCTACCAGGCTGGTGGGAACCTACTATCTTTCTGTCTTGGGATCCTAAGGAGCTAGGATTGCAGGTATGCACAACCCTATTTGGCAAAAGGGATCTTTTTAGACAAAGGAAATGTCATAAAATTGAACTGTGGTAACAGTTATATAATTGTAACACTAAAATATAACTATTATAAATTTTAACTCAGATTAAGTGTATCTTATAATTTTTTTTTTTTTTTTTTGTCTTTTTCCTTTTTATCGGTACCAGGGATCGAACCCATGACTGCCTGCTTGCAAGGCAGGAGCTTATGCCGCTGAGCTAAATCCCCAGCCCCTATAATTTGTAAATAATACCTCGGTAAAGCAGTTAAAAACCTATCTACCATTTGGTATAGTATCAAAGAATACTATCTAAGTACCTGAAAATTATCTTAAAGTTATCTTTTTCTAACCACATTTTTGTTCAAGATTTTCTTCACACTCAAAATATTTTGCAAGTGGTTAGCTGGCTTCTTTTAAAGACATTTGCAAAAAACACAAAAGTGCTTCTCAACAAAAACATTTTTTGAGGAAGTTATTTTTCATGAACAATGTATTGTTCATGCAAACATGTTATGAGTTTTTGTTATTTTAAATGAATCAGTATTAAAAACTTATGTTTTAATTTCTAATACAGTATATATTGACAGGTATCTCCAACAAAAACATTTTGGGGTACTCAATAAGTTTTCAGATTATAAAGCAGGTCCTGAAACCCAAAATTTTGAGAATTACTTGTCTACAAAGTTTTGGCCTCTAACCTGGAATGTCCCAGATGCACCTTTGCCAGTTATTTGTTCTAACTGGCCTCTCTCTACTGCTCTCTGCAGAGCATTCTTCAACAGCTGAGGCCTGCAGAGAAAAACAGAAAAGGGGGGGAAAAAGTGATAAATAAATGTAAGAATGAAAGAAAAATATAAAGAAACAGATCCAACTTACTCCCTGATCTAAAGTTCTGGCACCTGTTACAATAAACCTATAGTTTATTAAAATTAAAAAAAATACCAAATTGCTGACATCTTTAGTAAGGGGCATTCCTTTTATTTTTCCAAGCAAAGACAACAAATCATCACATACAAAAACAGTTTTTAAACTGCCAGGGTACTAAAAAAACCCTGGACCACAATGACTGGACTGTGTAACTAAAGAACGGACATACATGGTCTATGTTATCCAAGCTGGAGGGAGATTTGGTTGATCATATCAATCAAATGTAAGGTGTCAGTCAGAACACTGACTTGAGAAAAAAAAAAAAACAATGTACAAGTCTGATTCTGGACAAATGAGTATATCTGAACATGGACTGGATATTATATGTTAAAAAATTATTTTGTCAGGATTGATGTTAGTAGGGTGGTTATGTATGATTTTTGGTGTATGTTTGAGAGCTTCCAAAATTGAACCTTTAAGAAGTAGTAAAGGACAGGCACAGTTGCAGATGCCTGCAATCCCAGTTACTCAGGGAAGCTGAGACAGAACAATTGCGAGTTCAAGGTCAGTCTGCGCCACTTAGCAGCACTCTGTCTCAAAATAAAGGACATGGATGGAGCTCAGGGGGGTACAGTTTGTGGCTAGCATGTGCGAGGCCCTGGGTTTAATCTCCACTAGGGAATTAAAAAAGGGGTTAAAAAAAAAAAACTCACTGGTGGCAAACCTTTGGCATGTGTGCCACAGCCAGCTGTTAATAATCACTGAACGCTCTAAAAGGTTTGCCATCTGGTAGAAGTACTCTTTCCACCATAGGAAGATACAAGGCAGTCAGAACCAAACCAGGCTGGCATCCTGATCTCAAACATCTAATCTCCAGAACTGTGAGAAATAACTTTCTGTTTATAAACCAAAATAGTAATAATAAAGCAATCAAGGTAAGCCTATGCTGATATTAGAGTACAAATTTGAGGTAAAGGAATCAGCAAAGTGGTATGTATGTGTGGAAGAGGTTCAGCAAGGTAAAAGCTCCGAGGTTAGTGAGGGGTTAAGAAACAGACGTGCAGTGCCTTGTAAGCTATTTTAAACACTCTGGCTTTAACTGTGAGAGGGCTGGGATGTGAATATAAAGATGATATGATCTTAAGAGTTTAATAAAGTCAGGGGCTGGGGATTTAGCTCAGCAGCATAAGTGCCTGCCTTGCAAGCAGGCAACTGTGAGTTTGATCCCTAGTACCGTTAAAAAGGAAAAAGACAAAAAAAGACAAAAAAGACAAAAAAGACAAAAAAAAAAAAGAGTTTAACAAAGTCTCATTAGCATTGTGATGTTAACAACATAATAAAGGGGAGCATAAAAAAGCAGGAGGTTACTATTCTAATACAGGTGATCCATGAGAGATGAGAGATGGTAAAATGGAAGAAAGTAATAGAAGCAGAGGTGATAGCCTGCAGGTCTGCTTAACAATACATCTTTTTATCCCCCAAAGTTAAAGGAGGAAATGTTTATTTTGTCTCATAGTTTGTAGCAGTGTTAGTCTGTAAGTCATTGGCTCCAAGGCAGGATAGCATGGCAGAGAGAAATTGCAGAGGAAAAATAGTATACAGCAAGCAGGCAGGCAATAAAGGCATATTAACTCTCTTTCTGTCCCTTATATTTTATGCAGGATACCTACCCTAGGGATGGCATAGCACTCATATCATTAATCCTAGCTATAACTATGTCAAACCAATCTGTGGGCTGATTAATAATCATACACCGTTGATTTCAGTGCCACACACTCTAGAATCAGCTACCTCTGAAAAGCTCCTCTGCCTTGTATGAAGCTTTGGGGGGACATCTAGCCATAAATATAACAAACGGGGATTATATCAAGTTGAAAACCTTTTGCACAGCAAAGGAAACAACTAATAAAATAAAGAGACAATATACAGAATGGGAAACAATTTTGCAAATGACTGGTTAGAGGAGTATTATTTCGAGTATATAAAGAACTCAAAAAATTAGACTCACCAGTAAAAAAAAAAAAAAAAAAATAGAAGTGAGAAAGTGAAATGAATGGACACTTCTCAGAAGTATAAATGACCAATAAGTACATTCAACACTTGACCATTAAAGAAATACAAATTAAAACAATTTCAAGATTCCATCTTACTCCAGAAAGAATGGCTATAACCAAGAAATCAAATAATAAATTCTGGCATGGTTACAGGAGAAAAAGGAACCTTACACATTGTTGGTGGGAATGTAAACTAGTACAGAAATCAATATAGACGCTTCAAAAACTTAAAATAGCAATCCCATTAGATCCAGCTATGCCTCTTCTAGATATTTTCCTGAGTTAAAGAAATCATATTACAGTGATATATATACATACCTAGGCAGCATAATTCTTTTTTTTTTTTTTTTTTTTTGGTCTTTTTCGTTTTTATCAGTACCAGGGATCGAACTCACAACTGCCTGTTTGCAAGGCAGGCGCTTATGCTGCTGAGCTAAATCCCCAGCCCCAGCATAATTCTTAATAGACAAATTTTGAAAATGACCTATGTGCCCATTGAATAATAGGATAAAGGTATGGTTTGTTAGTGTTCTTTCACTTCAGTTTAACGTTTTTGTATGGCATGTTTAGAGTGATGAAATCCCTTAGATTTTTGTTTGTCTGGAAAAGTCCTTATCTTGCTTTCATTTCAGGAGGAAATGGTTGGCAGTTTTTCAAGTTTGTTTTTCTTTCAGCATTTTGTACATTTTATCTTTTTTCTATACATTTTGAAAACAGGGCTAAAGTAATTGTTTACAGATTAGATGTACATACGTGAAAGGACATCAACACAAAGACAGAATTTTTAATTTTAGCAACTAGAAAGATGATGTTCCCATTCACTAGGGTAGAGGTACAGTACTTTTTGAGGATGGGAATAATAATCAAGAATTCAATTTAGACATGTTGACAACCTAGTGGTGACACTGATGAAATATCTATCTATGTATACATCACTGAGTCAAAGAAAAAGGATGGCTTAGATTTATATATCTTTGAATTTACACATGTACATAAGTGGCATTTAAAACCTTTACAAGTGGAAAGAATTATCAAATGGGTATGGAGAGAAAATACAAGAGGCCTAAACTGCAACAGAGAAGGTACCTTTATATTAAAGAGTTGAAACAGAAATCCTAAGGAAGCTGGTAACAGAGGGCAATAAGGTTGGAGTAAGGCATCAGAAAGGCACAGTATCCTGGAAGGGAAGTGAAAATGTATCACGTACAGGGGAGTCCAGTGTGCCAAATGCTGGTGAAGGCAACAAGAACTACGAGTTTATCACTGAAATGTGCAATATGTACGTCATTCTGATGTGGGAAGGAAAACGTAGTTCAGGCAAAGCAGGGGGATAAAGCAGGCTTCTGAGAAAACAGGAGGAAGAAATTATACGTAACAAGTATAGACAATTCATTATATGTTTTTAAGTGTTTTTTTTTTAAGAGTGCTTTACTTTTGGGGTGTTATAAATTGAACTCAGGACCTCACTATGCTAAGCAGGTCATTTACCACTGATCCTAACAATTCTTTTTTTTCTTTTGTAGTCCTTTTTGAGACAGTCTCACTATGCAGTTAGGCTGGGCCTGAACTCACTTTGTAGCCCAGGCTTTCCTTGAACTTGCAGCAATCCTCCTGGCTCAGCCTCCCGAGTACTGCAATTACAGGCATGTGACCAGCCTGACAAATTACTCTTTAAAAACTCCTTTTCTAGGGGCCGAGGGTTTAGCTCAGCGGCATTAAGTGCCTGCCTAGGGGAAAAAACCCTCCTTTTTCTTGCTCTTTTGTTTGGCCAAGCAAGTATGACTGCATTTTCACATTAAATGCATGTATGACAGTACATGTGATCTGTGAAGTAAGTATGGCTGATTAGGGGGGGTTTCAAAGGAAAATGTTACCATTAAAAAAAGTCACAAAAGGTCTTCAGGTTCATTGGTAGCTTTGTTTTTGTTTTTGTTTTTTAATCTTTTTATCGGTACCGGGATCAAACTCATGACCACCTGCTTGCAAGGCAAGTGCCATTGGTATCTTTGAATTGATAAATTAATTACTGAAAGGCAAAGTTTAGCTGAGCTTAGTGATACATGCCTATAATCCCAGGATTTGGAGAGGTTGACGCAGGAGGACAGCCCAGGGTTAGTAAATTCAAGGCAAGCCTCAATTAACATAGGGTCTATAGTCACCAAAAAGTAAATAGAGCTAAAACATCTATTTCTACTTTCTGGTATATAGTTGTATATTACCCCTACCATCATATTTAAGGGACAAGAACTAATTTCAAAATTGCTTTTATGATTTCCATTTCTTTTACAATATTTCACTAACTCTTTAACTGGATACTCTCAAGAATGCTATGGGAGCTGAATATGGTAGTATGTGCTTGTAATCCCATCTACTTAGGAGGCTGAGGGAGGAAAGGTAAAGCTAACCTGGGCAATTTAGTGACACCTGTCTCTAAGTAAATAGGCTGGGGATATAGATCAGCACCCACTCGTTTCAACTCCCAGTAGTGCAAACAAACACTCTCAAAACTTAATGTTACTTCTCAGGTGAAACATAACTATAGACGTAAGTGATAAAATAAATATTATCAGCACTAAACTGTATCAAGACAATGTACATTAAATAATCTTTTGCAGAAAGAACTCTGGATTAAATGCAGCTCTCCAAAGGTCATCACAACAAAGATATTCCACAAACATAATCAAAACTCACTTTACAAATTGTGAATTTAAACAAATTAATATCTGCCATGAATCCACATTCTAAGCCAATGTGACAATTTAATGATTAATCACCACAGGTCAACTATACTTTATTAAAGAACACACCAAAGAATTATGATGTTTGGTTTTTAAAAACTTTCATATGATAGGAAAAGTAAAACATAATGGGGCCAAAATAAAGGTTTCATTTAATTAAAAATGGGCTAAGGAACTAACACATCGTATTTTAAAACCTAGGTGAATGGCTAATACCTGATGTCCACCCTAAGCTTAGGGTAATACTGAAACACGTATTTCCTGATAAGACTATAGGAAGCTTCTTTAGGTTCACAAAGGCGAGTAAAGGCCAGTGGGAGGATATCCTCCAGTTTCACTTGTGGTTCTGGATCCACTGCAGAGCTCCTCTTCTGAAATGTAACAGCAAAAGTTATGGTCACTACCAATTATAAAGCTTCCAGTCCATATGTTTCTATGTATAATAAAGGTCTCCTTAGCTGACTACGAAGTCAACTAGCAAGTGAATAATTTACTTTTTTTCCATATTAAATACATCATACCAGGCTGGGCACATAGCTCAGTGGTAGAGTTCTTGCCTAGTATAGCTGAGTCCTTAGTTCAATTCCCAACACCACCAAAAATAAAACAAACAAAAGATATCATAGTGGACTAGGTGTGAGTTGTATGATAACTTCTTTCAGATAAAAACTTCAGACTGAGCAAGTTAAAAATACACATATAAGGGGATGAGGATTTAGTTCAGCGGCATAAGCACCTGCCTTGCAAGCAGGCAGTCGTGAGTTTGATCCCTGGTACTGTAAAAAGGAAAAAGGCAAAACAAAAACAAAACAACACATATAGGGGCTAGGGGTTTAGCTCAGCGGCATAAGCGCCTGCCTTGCAAGCACGCGGTCATGAGTTCGATCCCCAGTACCAATTAAAAAAAAATACATACACAGAATAGATTTTAATGGGGGCTGGGGATTTAGCTCAGTGGCACAAGCACCTGCTGGACAAGGGTGAGGTCCTCAGTTCAATTCCCAGTACAAAAAAACAAAAGAAAGAAAGAAAGAAAGAACGGGGAAAGAGAATTTAAGCTGGGCGTGGTGGTGCACACTCGTAATCCCAGCACTCAGGAGGCTGAGGCAGGAGGATCATTGCAAATTCCAGACCAGCCTAGGCTACAAAGTGAGCTCAAGACCAGCCTGAACTGCACAGTGAAGCCCTATCTCAAAAAAGACAACAACAACAAAAAAAACCAAAAACAAAACAAGAATAGCCTTTAAAGGTGTTAATTCATTCTTAGCCTTCATTAATAAAGAATGATGTATAGCATCAGAAAATAATACACAAAGATTTAAAATATTGGAAAATTGGTCATGATGGCACATGCCTGTAATCCCAGCACTTGGGAGGCTGAGGCAGGGAGACAGCCATCATGAGTTCAAAGCCAGCCTGAGCTTAATTTAATGACTTCAAGGACAGACTACACATGGTAGTGAGACACTTAAAAAAACACATATGAATAAGCAGGCACTGCAGTTTACTACTGTGGAAAACTTTACATAAATGAAATTTATTATGTCTTGGAGAAGGGGAAACTAATATTTACAGAGACATAAGATTGGCTCTGAAGATGTTTCTATACCTACTATGGGATAAAACTGTACTTAACATACTCCCTCTAATTTAAAAGACATTTTACCAAAAACAAAAAGTCATATAGCTGCCAGTAATTCAATATAAAGCATTTAAGACCATGGACTTCACTGGGCTGGAGTTTATGGGTTTGCAACCTGGCTATTCTACACACTAGCAGGGCAAATTACTTGCATCCTCTATAGACCTTAGTGTATAAAGGCTGCACTTTGCATAGTGGCAATCACACAGTAAAACTTAACAAATGCTGTTACCTTTCACAGTAGTAGTATTTCAGTGTTCAAACTCTGGTATAGTTCTTACCTTTCTGTTTCTGGATTTCTGAGATGTTTTACTTGCTTTCTGGACCACAACGAAGCTTCCAGATGCACCTTTTCCTTTTACCTAAATTAAGTTTTATTTAAAATTATTCCTGTATTCAAATTTTTAACTTTACATTAGACTAAAAGAATTGGGGCTGGGGATTTAGCTCAGCGGCATAAGCGCCTGCCTTGCAAGTAGGCAGTCGTGGGTTCGATCCCCGGTACCGATAAAAAGGAAAAAGAAAAAAAAAAACTATCTCAAAGAAAGAAGAAAAAAAAAAAATTCCTTAGAGTAAATAAGAAAATTCCTCGCTCTTTCCGAAAAAGAGTTCCTTGACTCTAGTCATACTGCTTCCACTAGTTTATCAATGACAAATTATTCCTTCTGTGCAAAAAGTCATCTTATAATTTGTTAAGATAAGGGACCAGGGGTTTAGCTCAGTGGCATAAGTGCCTACTTGGCAAACATGAAATCATGAGTTCGATTCCTGGTAACAAAAAACAAAAAAAGACAACACACGTGATGATTCGTATATAAATCTTACCATGTATTTCCAGTCTGTGAAGCACTTTCATACAATTTTAAAGCTGATTCATCATAACCAATTTATCATACCTTAGCATCACCTAGTTATCAATTTAGCTTTTAGTATATTAACTGCTGTTTATGCATCAAAGTGAAGGTTCATCTACAGAAGGCCAGAAACTAAATTTTCATAAAGAAAAATATGAACTTGTGCTGACATACATTTATAAAGATGGCTTTTTGCATTTAATGATTATATTGAGTAAGACCTTTTATCAATCATCATTTTAAAGGCTATTTAAATATCTATCTTTTGAGAAAGTTTAGGCTGTAAACTCCACACAGCAACAATTTGTTCTGCTGACCAATGGCTCCATAATCATACGACACATGTAAAACAATACATATTTGCAAGGGATTTACTGAGTATAAATGTCTAAGAGGCACAGAATTTATCAAATTGTGCAGGAAAGTATAGAAAAGGTCAACAGAACTCTGGAAATGTGGTGAACAAGGTACTTAAAACCATCTCTGTCAGTATCACGATACTTTGGTAGTTATTGTCATCTGGGTCTCCGAACAGGGTAGGTAAGGCATTCTAGCTTTAGACTTGTATGACTGGGGTGGGGGACAATGCTGGGAACTGAAACTAAGGCCTATGCTTAGGTAAGTACTCTATACTGAGCTACAGCTCAATTCCTAGACTTCCATGATTCTAAGTAACACTGATGAATTATGGTACGCAAGGTAACAAAGGTAATGCCTGAAATCACTAATGGTTCTAGTACTAATCTCAATTCACTTAGGCTTTTCCAGTGCTTCTCTTACAGGTATAGAAACTAATCACTTAAGGTCAACTTCTTTTCTTTTCCTTTTTTTGTGATATCAGGAATCAATCCAGGGACGATGGATTACTTAGCTACATCCCTGGCCCTATTTATTTTGTGACTAGTCTTGTTCTCTAGCGTTTCCGCAACCTGTGATCCTCCTGCCTCAGCCTCCCAAGATGGGATTACAGATGTACAGGTGAGTCAATACATTTGGCTCTTTTGAGGTACCATCTCACTAAATTACTTTGGGTCTCAAACTTGCAATCCTGTTGTCTCAGTTTCCCAAGCAGCTGGGCTTACTAGCGTGTTGTACCACATCTGGCCAAGGTGAGCTTATTTACAAGGCAAGTAAAAAACTTAGTCTTTAGTTAGGCTTTAAGACTAACAAACATATGATGGGAGCAATTTTTTGTTTTTTTGGTGGTGGTAATGGGGATCGAACTCAAAGCCTTGCACTTGACAGGCAGGCACTTACACCACTGAACTAAATTCCCGGACCCAAATAAGTTTTTTTTTTTTTTAAAGCACTTTTACTACTATAATAGTTGGACTCCTTAACCCTGCTTCTCATTTTCAGTACTTGAATTTTGGTACATGCAACTCCCTAAGAAATTCCAACTAAGGTCTAGGGGTACAGTACTTGCTTAGTATGCATGAGGCCCTGGGTTTGACCCCTAGCACCAAAAAACAAATAAATTTCACAAGCCAAGTAAGAGTACAATAAAAGTATCACAATCTTTTGTCTTCTGTTCTCTAAGTGGTTAGGTAAGAAGAGGATTGGTACCAGTGTTTTGAAACATAGTTTTTTTTGGTGCTGGGGATCCAACTCATGACCTGGCGCTTGCCAGGCAGGTGCTTATGCCACTGAGCTAAATCCCTGGCCCTTTGAAACATAGTTTAATTATAAAATTAGGCTATGCATAAGTATTTCAAAATTGTATAAATTATTTTAGACACAAAAGAGCCTAAATGTTTAAAATATAGACAGTATAGGTGATACTCAAAATAATCTTATTTCTGTTTCTTCTACCCAGTGCTGGGTATAATACTTAAGCAAAAATACTAGGCACATCCTCTGCACCTAGCTCACCCTCGGTGGGAGGTAACCTTAATTCCAATAATGAATATTACCTGTTTGATGACCCCTCTATTTAATTCTCTTTTTAGTGCTTGTTTAAGGAGATAACCCCTTCTCTCCAACTCCAAAGAAGGATACTTATGGATTATATATTTTCGAATAGCAACCACTGATGCACCACTCTTCTGGAAGCATGCCTACAAAATTATAAAAACCGTAACACAATTATTTTATTGAGAACTTGCCACATTTTCAAAGTATTTTCAAAGTGAACTTGATAATAGTATTTTAGATAACATCAGTTCAAAATGGAGGTGAAAAATACATAATTATAAAATATTTCTACACAGTGGAACAGTACTTTGCTATAAAAGAGAAATTTGAGTTGCTTGTAGGAAAAGATGCACTCTGAGAGTGTAATTTTAGGTGAAATAAATCAGATACACAAGCTTAAAAACTGAATGGTTTCTCTTATGTGAGAAACTAAAAGGATAAACAAAGCAAAATAAAAGATAATTGGAAATAGGGACACAGGACTTTTGCAAAAGGGAAGAGGCCAGGACATGGAAGGCACTGGGAGGGAGGACAGGAAAGGGGGATACAAAAAGCCTTAAAATATGTTAAGTACATGTACCAACCTCCTACAATGAATGTAAGTACTATGTACTGCAAACATGTACTAAGAAAAATAAGAAGTAAAACAACAAGTAACATTTCTATAATAAATTTAGAATTTTCAAATACATTAACATTCTGTGTGTTAACCAAGAATTCCTCTTGATTTTAATTTGGTTGTATTTAGAAGATAGATCTTCTGCATTAAAATGAGGAAAGCAAAACATTTCTGTTACTTGGAGGATTACAGGTCTGATCCATTTCAAGGAATGAATTTTGTTGCACTAGGACTAATATTTCTCTGTAGAATATGAGTATCAGTAGAAAGGAAGCATAAATAAATCTAAACAAATGCCATAAAACTGTGTTTATAAATGGCAAAGTTTTAAGGGGAGTTTTAAGCAGTAAGATATTCTACTGAAATTTACAGTCTCTTCCACTTTCACCTTAGGTGCCTGATCTCTATCTTTCTAATGGTCAGAGAAGAATTAAGTATTTCATTATGCTACAAATACAGCAAACGCTTAATTTTTTTCAAATGTTTTAAATTTTGAAGCACACAGAAGTAACATCTGCTAGTCCATCCCTTTTGGGTTGCTACTGTTTATAAACTGAACATGCTTACTCACTCTTATGTTACTCAACATATTCTGACAAGGAAATACAGTCTCATAGGCAGATGGACTAGTAAAGAATGTACAACATGAAACAAGTTATGTTAATACAGATCACCTAACACAACTAAAGATCTCCAAGCTATTAACAACATACTGAAATTTCTGATTCTGAGAAACATAAACCAAACAAGAATCAAGAAATCCTTTGCTCAAGCAAACTGATAATGAAATAGAAACAGACATCAGGACTCCTTTTTTACATAAAAAACTGTATCAGTGATCTGAAAATCATAATTTGTTCATACTGATGGAACATTATTGTATTTTATAATTATATGATCTGTTCAAATACAGTCATGATTCAACACAGGGCAAATTTTCTCTGCTCTAAGTTTTTCTCTTAGTATTTTAAAATTTTAGTCCCTTCTTCGTGTTCACTATAATCCTGCTCCTTCAAATCTAGGCTGAGTGATCATAAAAAATCCTCGAGGAGAGGTTATAAAAAGAATAAAGATCTTGCTGGGGGTTTAGCTCAGTGGCACAAGCACTTGCCTGGCAAGCACGAGGTCGTGGGTTTGATCCCTGGTACAAAAAAAAAAAAAAAGACAATATAATAAAAGAATAAAGATCTCATTATAGTCAAGCTATCTAGACAAAGTTTGCTAGTTTGCTTTTTGTAGTCCTGGGGAATGGAACCCAAGTTTCACATTGAGCTACATTTCCCATCCATTTTTAAAATTTAGACATCTTGCTAAAGTGCCCAGGCTGGGATCAAACTTGTGATCTTTTTGTCTCACTTCCCTAAAGTGTGGAATTATAATACTGTGGCACCAAATCCATTGGTTTTTTGTTTGTTTGCTTTTTTATTTTTTCCCTGTGCTGCCCAGGCTAGCTTGAAATCCCTGGACTCAGCCTTTCCAGCAGCTTAGATTACAAATGCACACCATTATGTCCAACTTCCACCCCCTGTACTGAGTAGAGTCTTGCATTGAACTACAGCGGAGTCTTTATCTTTTATTGTGAACTAGGTATTTCAGCTTTCAAACAAAAACTCTGTAATCAGTTAACTGAGTCAACAGACAGTAGGAAACAGGCAGCTAGACCTTTTGCAAATGGGAAAGGGATTGAGAGTGGAGGCTGGGAAGAAGGAGAAGGGAGGAAAGGGAAGGGGAAGTAAAAACAATTATGTTGTTATATGCATGTACTGATTCCCCACGACGAAATTAATCATTATGTATTACAAATGTACCAATAAAAATGAAAAACTATTTAGAGTGAATATGAATTTTTAAAAAAGAATCATTGGATTAGAAAAACAGGTTCCTCACATGGCTCCTTTTAAATTTCCTTTAGGAAGCAATGCAAGTTTTCTGGTATCTAGACAGAGAATGCCATTTTCAAACAAGCAAAAGATGAACATAATAAATCTAAGATGATTGGCTGAAATACAAACTTGCCTTAATAGCCTCAGTTAGAATTGCATCCATCTTGGGACGTGGTGAGGAAGCCATCGTTGTTTGTTTCTGGGCCCTGGCTAGCTGGCTGGCAGAAAGAGTAGCCCAAGAAGGTATCGTTTTTTTCACTTTCTTCTCCTTTTCCTTAGACTGATCTTTCTCCCTTTAAAACAAACAACTGTTGTTACGCAAAATAAATTTTCCTGAAAGTGGTACTACTAGCTCTCTATAAATGTGGGTTCTGCATTTTTGGGTTTGATATCCAAGGATATAATCTTAGTCATCTATAACTATACAAGTTCTATCAACCCCTTTATAAGATATGACATATGTAAAAATTATGAGACTATATTAGTAGTATTGTAAGTCATACAGCATTATATAAATTGTATTGTAAGTAACAATGGTGCTCCATTCAGGTGCATTAAAAAATTTAAAAATATAGGCTAGTCACCAAAAATTCCAGACCTTAACACCTATGCAACTGGGATAAAGGATTCACTGAGGATTATATCTGGAAAGCAGAGCTATTTATTTTATTTGAAAAATAATTTCTAACTGGACCAATTAAGAAAACAATGGAATGAACAGTACTCAGTATGAGGGGGCTTGTCACTAAAATTAAAAATGAACTGCTACCAGTAACTTTATACAGATATAGTTCATCAACCGCGAATTTTGCTTTCAGATGCTCAAAGTCACCTCCAATTGAAAACTTCACCAAACATACACAGAGTTTTAGTTACTCTAACAATAGCTTGATAAAGATTGGTATTTTGCAATGTAACATGTAAGAACAACCTTCTCCTTGAACAAAGATAAAAACAAAATGGTGGAGGGTCTCCAGGTCAGTTTTTTTTTTTTTTTTTTTTCTGATACAGGGTCTAGTTTCAAACTAAGGGTGAATTTCTACCTCAGCCTCCCAAATCCTGGTATTATAAGTATGTGCCATCACGCTTGGCTCCAGGTCAATTGGGGGGGGGGGGGGAGGCTACTGGGGATCAAACTCACTATGCTTACAAGGCAGGCGTCTATGCCACTAAGCTAAATCCCCAGCCCTCCAGGTCAGAGTTTGTGTTTCATTTCTTAAAACTGAGATTTTATCAGTTCTTAAAATCCCAGAAACTTACAGTGAATTATAAGCATAAAAGCACACTCCAAAGTCTTTTAGATTACCCAAACCACTGTTCTGCTAGTACTACAAATGTTAACAGCCTACAAGACTCCATAAAGTTTCAAATTTCAAATGATAACTCTAAAATGTAAACCCAATTAGCAAATACCCAGCATAAACCAATGTTGCAAAACTTTTTAAGCTCAATCTTATCTACATTCCTTTTACTTGGTCTTCATTTAGAAAAGGAAGAAAGTATAACTCTTTACTCCTTTTTGGTTTCTTCAGAAGACTTATTTTCTTCCTTCTCTTCAACCTCAGGTTCTCCCTTGGGCTGTTCTGTCTCATTAGATGTAGCAGGCGGAGTTTCATTTTCTTGTTCTTCTACAGTGGAGATAGATTCCTCTGAACTTACATCTGGTTCTAAAAAATAAAGTAAGCAGAACTGCATCATGTAGATATACATTATACAGCCCGAATTAACAAAACGGTAACCTTACTATATGAAACGGACAGCCAAACATTCTAATTACAAGCAAATTCTGAAATGAAATCTACTTTGAGTAATTTTCATCTGTATCTTTTTCTTCTTCATTGTGTGTGTTTGTGTGTAGGCGGGGGAGGTGCTGAGTACCGAGCCCAGAGACTCACACATGCTAAAAAGATGCTCTAGGGCTGGGGACATAGCTCAGTGGCCTAAGCACCTGCCTGGCAAGCTTGAGGTCGAGTTCAGTCCCTACCAAAATAAAATACTGAAAATAAAAAACAAAATAAAGAAACAAAGAAAACAAAAAGGTGCTCTACCACTGTGCTTTACACCCAGCCCTCTTCTTTATGTCACTCAAGCTATCTGTTCAAATATTTATTTAGACCACACACAAGAAAAGGAGATGGCCAGGAAACTACACATTTATCCCAAATCTTTAGTATTCTACTCTGCAGTATTAATGATTCTCAAAATTAAAAAGTTAGCCATTTTTAACTGGCGAAATCTTTACAAAATTAGCATACTTCCAGGTGATACAACTGAGTGGAACAAGATGGGAACACTAAGGTCTGTAGTTGACTGTGCCTTTTCTTCACAAGTCTCTAAAAAGCTACTATAAAACACAGAACTGCGTCTGCCACTTACATAGATTTCAAAGCCACCAGTGGGAAAAATCAGTCAAAGAATAAAAGATTATGTTTGCAGTTTTCACATAAAGAGAGTAAAAGAATGCCACTTCTTATGACTGAATTGAAAAAATAATACTGTAAAGTTGTAAAGGAATTTCTCAATTCTCAACAAATTAAAACACAAATTTCAGAACAGTCAACTATCAATTGCAAATCCTACTTAGGATTAATGGTCTTCAACTACTTGCATAAATAAGCCTAGTACAAACACTTCCTAAATCTCTTCAGACAACTAAAGTTTTAGAGTGAGACACACCTCAATTCAAGTTTAGCCTTTATAATATTCCAGCTCAATGAATTTAGGGCAAACCCTCTGATACCTCTAAGCCTCAGTTATGAGGATTATAAAATATTTTAGGGAAACCCTCAAGGCCAGTAGGAGTACTAAATGAATGACTCCTGCCCTCTGATGTGTTCTGATGCTTTTAGAACTATTTCCCACATTTTTAGGATCACAAAGTATTAAGGATAAAACTTTAGTATAATAATTGCATACCATATCCTAGGGTACAGAGAATGACTCATTTAGGTTTTCAATGGTAAGGTATATTTTTTTGTCATGATGTACTGTGAACTATCACTAACTGACCTTCGCCATACCTGGTTGTACAAATTAGAATTTACAATTACTTAATCTTAAGTTTATGAACTGCCTTCTTTTAAAAAATTTTATTGTAACAGTATAAGCTATAAATTTTGCAGTATTTTTTGTATCTGGGTACAATTCTCAGGACCAAAGAAACAAAGGATTGGCAGAAAACAAAGGAAAAAAGAATAGAGGAATAGTTTGCTTTACCGTTTTTTAAAAAATAAACTGTAAAGTTTGATAGCCTTACATTACGTAAATCTGTTGGTTATATTTTTCCAACATCATGTGCATTTAAACATTTTCATTATTATTATTACGATGATCTATAATCAGTATTAATGAATAATACTTGATATCAGTATTATTCATTCTTTTGGGTAACACAGAAATATGCCCATGTGAGACAGCAAACTTAACTGATACATGTGTGGATTTTTTTGTTTTGTTTTGTTTTTGGTATTTGAGATTGAACTCATGACATCATGCTTACCAGGTAAGCGCCTGAGCTGCTAAGCTAAATCCTTGGCTCAAATCTGTGTTTTTGACTTTTCCACTGAACAGTTGTTCCTGTCTCTCACCTCTCTTCAGGCTTCCTTATTCCCTGAGATATGGTTATTACAAAATTAAGCCAATAAATAATCCTTCAATGGCCTCTAAGTGTTCAAATGAAATGAAAAATTGCAAATCCTCACTACCACAACCAGTACTGGGGATTAACTTAATGCCTTTGCAATGAGCTACATCCTCAGGCCCTTTTCTACATTTTTTAGATAATCTAAATCATCAAATTGCCCTGGTGAGGCTTGAATTTTTGATCCTCATGCCTCTGCTTTCCAGAGTGCTAGGATCTCTCACACACACACACACACACACACACACACACACACACACACACAAAATCATGCCCCACCTTGCATTTTTCTTATTTGAATTCAAAAGCTAGAAGTGATTAAACTAAATGAGGGAGGCACGTTGAAAATTGAGACAGATCAAAGCTAGGCCTCTTTGGAGAAACAGTGGCTATGTCACAGATGCAAAGTTTTCTTTTTCTCAAAGAAAAGGTTCTTAAAGGAAATTAAAATTGCTACTCAACTAGTAAATGCTGTGTAAACAGTCTTACTGCTGATATATAGAAGGCTTTAGTGGTCTGGATGGAAGATCAAGTCAGCCACATTTTCATAAGCCAAAACCTAATTCAGAGCAAAGCCCTAACTCTCCTGAACTATGTAGGCTGAGAGAAGAAAGAGCTTCAGAAGAAAATGTGAAGCTAGCAGAGGATGGTTCATGAGACCTAAGGAAAAACACTATCACATAAAAGTACAATGCTAATTCGGGAGCTGCAGCAAGGTTTTCAGAAGAACTAGCTAAGAGAACTGATGAAAGTGGCTATTCTGAATAACAGATTTTTCTGTGTGAACAAAAGAACTTTATATTAGAAGGTGACACCTAGGACTTTTATAACAAGAGAATGTCTGCCTTCAAAACATCAAAGTAAACTCTTATCAGGGCTAAAATAGCTGATGACTTTAAATCGAAATCATTGTTCATTTACCATTCAGAAAATCCTATTCCTTAGGAATTATACTAAATGTAGTCCTGTGCTCTCTATCAATGGAATAATGAAACCCAGATGAGAACACATCCATTTACAATATGGTTTACTAAATATTTAAGCTCTTTGTTGAGATCTACTGCTCAGAGAAGACTGCTTTCATAATGTTACTGCTAACATCTGGTTACCTAAGAACTCTGATCGAAACATACAAGATTAATGCTATGTACATGCCTGCTAACACAACATCTATTCTGCAATTCACAGTTTAAGGATTTCAATTTTTGTATTATTTTAAAAATTAACTAATTTTTATTTTTTTGTGACAAGGTTTTGCTATGCAGTTCAGGCTGGCCTTGAACTCACTTTGCAGCCCAGGCTGACCTCAAGCTCGCAAGTGATCCTGCTTCAGCCTCTGTGGTGCTGGGATTACAGGTGTGGATGGTTTCATTTTATTATTTAAAAAATGTATTTTGTATCTGGGTATAGGGTATACATCTTTATTCTTTTCTTCCCTTTTTTTGGTTAAGGTGATAGGTACCTCAGATAGTTCATTTTATTATTTAAAAAATGCATTTTGTATGTGAGTATAAGGTATACATTTTTTTTTCTTTTCTTTCCTTTTTTGGGGGGGTTAAGGTGATAGGTGCCATAGGTAGTGATTCTTCTGATATAGCAGACTAAACTGAAATCCTTCTGGAATGACTTTGCCACCCTACATGCCAATAAGAACATTCATGCATTCATGATTTAAAGGAAAAGGTCAAAATAGCAAAACTAATAAGGAATTTGGAAGACAGTGATGGGGGAAACCTCTTTTTGAGACAGGGTCTCGTTATGCAGTTCAACCTGGTCATGAGCTCTCTTTGTAGCCCACGTTAATCTCCAACTCATAACGATCCTCTCGCCTCAACCTCGAGTTCCAGGATTATAGGTATGTGCCAACATACCCTGCAGAAACTGGTTTTAACTTTAGTGACTTTGGAGAGCTCAAAACTTCAAGAGAGAAATTAACTGCAGATGTACGTAACAAATGGCAAGACAACTAAACACACAAAGGTGGAGCCTGCAGATGTGGCTAAACTGCTGCAATCCCATGAAAAAATCTGAATGGAATGAGAAGCTGTTTCACACAGATGAGCAAAGAAGTGGCAACTATAACTGGTGAAATGAAAAAAATGACTACTACATAAATTTAGCTGAGCTGGAAGCTACAGTGCACACTTGTGATCTAAGACAAGAGACTCGAAAGGTTGAGCCCATCTGGATAGATGGTGTAATGATTTACTGAGACTGTCTCAAAATGAATCTTATAAAAAATGGGGTGGGTTGTAACTCAATGACAAGGCCACAGTTTTGATCCCCATTCCACAAAAACAAATGCAGTTGACAAAATACTGGCAAAAATTGATAGGATTAACTTCAACTTTGAAAAAAGTTCTAATGGGGGCTGGGGATTTAGCTCAGTGGCTTAAGCGCCTGCCTTGCAAGCAGGCAGTCGTGAGTTCGATCCCTGGTACCGATAAAAAGGAAAAAAGAAAGAAGTTCTATTGCAGATAAAGGCTATTATTAGCATCATGCTATTAAAAGTTTTCTAGGGGCTGGGGATTTAGCTCATAAGCACCTGCCTTGCAAGCAGGCGGTCGTGAGTTCAGTCCCCAGTACCGATAAAAATGAAAAAGAAAGAAAAAAAAAGGTTTTCTAAAAGAAAGAGTGAACTGAAACAAAAGTCAATTGATATGTCGAACTTCACTGTATTCGTGTAAGTTGACACAGCCATTCCAACCTTTGCCAACCACTACCCTAAGTCAACCATTAACAATAAAGGTCTGGAGGATTATTATTATTTTTTAGCAACAATCTATTTTAATTAAGGCATGTATTTCTGTAGGTATAATGTAAGTGAAACTTTTATATGCACTGGGAAATGCTTTATCATGATACTTGCTTTAGTGCATGTTATGGTTTATGTCAGAGCCCCCCCCCCCACAATCTCATGCAATCATGGGCATGTCTGAAACTAGCATTCATGACTGGTTCTTTGTCTGATACTAGGATTGGGGGTGTGAGTACTATACCTGCCCAAGGGTGGAGCCAGCATATAGTATAAAGGGGGGAGGCGTCTCTCTCTCCCTCTCTCTCTCTCTCTTGCTGTTTGTGCTTGCTATCTGTGGCTGTCATGAACCAATGCCCTTCAGCCATGTCAATCAGCCTTGAAGCCAACTGAATACGGACTGAAACCTCCAAACTGTAAGAAATATACCTTCCCTTCACTAACTTTGGGTATTAGGTATTTTATCTCAACCATGAGACAGAAAAGTAACTAAAACAGTGCAATAATCTTGAACTGAAACAGTCATTTGTTAGGTATGTCTGTACTTGCTTTATTTTATTTTATTTGGTTTTTTGAGACAGGGACTTGCTATGTAATTGAGGCTGGCCTTCAGCTAGGTAGCCCAGGCTAGCCTTGAATTTGTGATCCTCTCAAGTGCTAGGATTACGGGCATTTGCCACCACACTTAGCCTCTAGTTGCTTTAGAGTTAGGGCTTAACTAACAGTCACTGAACAGAGAATGTTATATATATAACATAATGTTTCCAACTCATTAACCACTGTATCTGCTTGTAAGAAATGTAAGATTTACAAAATTTAAAATGAGTGATATCCATTTCTAATTATGAATTATGTCCATTTCTAACCATGATACATAGAAGGTTAAACAAATACACAACTTATGACTATAGTTACTTTATAAATTTTTAGTTGACTCTTCTAATGTACATCAAAACTGTCTGCCATACATTCTGAAAACTGAAGTTGTTAGTGATTCAGTGGCTCATTCCAGTGTTAGTGAATCAATTCACCAGTGCTCATTTCTTTTTTAATATTCTGTCATATTCCCTAACTACATTGGGCCAGGGTAAACTGTTTACAGCACTCATTCTAAGGACTTGGAGACAAAAATTTAGGTACAAACCTCTGCTGCACTAAAGGCTAAATGCAACAAGGATGCATATATTTTCCATTCCTAATCTGGTCTGCAAACATTTGATTCTAACAACCATGATAGGGATAGCACAGGATGCTCATCTGTAGCAAACAAGGAAAAAACACAAGGGAGAAAGGAAAACAGTAGCAAAGAAAGAAAAAGGTCACAAGACAAAAAGGAGGACAAAACAACAGAGGTAGTTAAGAGATGCTATAAAGAGCAATAATACTTCAAAGTTGATGGGTCTGCATTTCATTATGCTCCAATTTGACTGGCCAATTTTTTTGGTCACCATTTTGTTGTCCTTACGGTCTCCTGATGATTTCTGGGTGAACTTTCCACTGTCTATCCCAAAGGCCCAAATCTTCCAGAATTCCTAAGAACTTTCGTTCTCATGACATTATGATGTCCAGGATGCCACATATTATGTTCCTATCCTCCCTATTTTTCTGTTTTTAATTCCAAGAACACTGTACTTTCACCTTCCAAAAAATCTTTAAAGGGGCAATTTTATTTTGTGTACACAATCTGACAGTAACATGCTAGTAACTACTACATTTTTCCTTATGTGTTTCCCTAGAACACTTAACCATGAAAAAAAGAATATATTCAAAGGGATTTATGAAACACTACAAACTGAAGTAAAAGCTTTTGCCTTCTGTCCACTGCTTTACCTGGCTTTTCTTCTCCTTCAGCAAGTTTGCTTTTGAGTGGAGTTTCGCGGGTAGAATTCACAGCTCGACGAATCGGCATGGTGCTTTCTTCGACCTTCTAAGAAAAAGAGATGGTCATGATCAAACATGCATAAAAAATTCTCTTTTTTGGGGGCTGGGGATTTAGCTCAGTGGCCTAAGCGCCTGCCTTGCAAGCGCGCAGTTGTGAGTTCAATCCCTGGTACCGGTAAAAAAAAAAAAAAAAAAAAATTCTCTTTTTTTTTCTCAAGGGGCCTAACTGGATGTCAAAACATGTAGGAGAATTCTTCAAGTCAACTCCAGGATCTGATGCAAATTATTTTAGTTAAATTTTTAAAAATCAAATATAATTTTTAAAAGCAATAATCTCTAAAATACTTCATTTTAGACAGAGATTCCACATGGAAACAATTTAGAATAACTTGGAATTAATTTAAAAGGTTGGAAGTTTTCTCAGGATTTGAGGGGAAGGGGAAGATAAGAAGAACTATGCATCTATTAGATTTTTCTTCAGTTTTACAATCTAGTCTTCCCAAAGTAGGGGAAGGAACATGTACCAAGAAGAACCCAGCAGGCCCGGAAGTCAACGGTTGATCCAAGAGTGAGCTTCAAGAATGCATCAGCCCCTACCTCACCTAACTTGTCTGCGTGGATCAGCTGAGCTCCTACTATAAGTGGGAGTGCCTTAGGATGGACGAGTTCACCTTGAGACGTATCAGTTGCCATTTAAAATAATTTCTAGGCCCGAGTACAGGTTACACTCTGAAGCCTCTGCTGTTAACCACAAGGATTTTTCCTAATGGTTTCAGGGTGATGAAGAATCAACCTAAAAGCACAGAAAAGACCTGGTGTGAAGATTAACAGAAACAAAACTAAACTAAAATGTCTAAATTTAATATACATTAAAAGAGAAAAACATAACTATAAAACTTATAGTTATATGACCCATGACTTAGTTATTAATCAATAAGATAAAACCACTACTGAAGCACAGGCTAAGTAAAAGCAGCAACTAAGACAAATGCCTAAGCCACAGCAGATGCTGCATCTTCTACATGAACAAAGACAATGCCAAGAAAGCCCGTAAGGAACCCTAACCCCATACCCTCCTGCTAACATCAGAACTTACGAAGATAAGGAGACTAAGGAATGGTTTAGTCAAAGATCAGCTCACGAAAAAGAAGGTTTTGTTTGAATTGTTCTCAAAGGTGTCAGGAAAATTAATCTTAACTCTATTAGAGAAGTTAATGTTTTTTTCTATTAATGGAAAATACAAGGTCAAAAATAAGGAAGAATACAATTATTTTAAGAGTCTCCAGACAAGAAATTTAGACCATTATCTAAGAGAATAGAACTATGCATGTTTCTTAGCTTATTTGTCATAATTTTAATGTAAGTAAAACAAGTAGAGAAGAACATAACTAAATAATTACAGATAAAACTCATGTAGTCACCCTACTTTACCCAATCATTAACACCACCGCCCCTCAAATCTTACCAATATTGATACTATACAATAAAATTTCTCAGTGTAAGAAAATGATTATTTGTTTAGATCTCTGTGATGAGGAACAGTTAATAAAAAGTTGAGAATAATAAACTAGCCATTCACTTCTACTTTAACTTCTGACACTGTCCAGGAATTTAAGAGCTTTCAACTTATCAGGTAACAGCAACAACAAGCTAGCAGCAACAAGCTAGGGTAAACTTTCTAAAAATTCAAACATAGAGAATGCTTTCAGTTATCATAAAGTTCTTTTAATGAGAACACAGAGAAACAATATGATACTTGTGAATTATCAACTAGCTGCAAAAAAAGGCAGCTAAAAGATACACTAATCTACTGAAATTCACTATTAACACTGAATTAGGAATTCCATGAATATTTAAATTTATTAACTGTTAAGAAAACTATAAAATGCTGACGTTCCAATTCACTTAAAAACCACAAAATAACCCACATGAAGTAGCTGTTTTTTGATCTGTGAAAAGAGGGTCATGATAGCTTAAGGACATTATTTAGGCCTGTGAAAACTAAAAATTTGTTTTGGGACAATTTTAATACATGAACATGTTTATTCACCACCTGCCAGTAATAACATAGCAGTAAATACAATAATAATGTACTTTCCTTGATAATAATAAAATGAAACGAATTTGTTATTTTCATATATACAAACACTGTACAGAAGTAAAACATCACAATTAGGTTATTCTTGTAAAAGTGATACTGCTAACGGATTTTAATGAATTTTTCTTTCTTAACCTGTAAGACTAGCTTAGGTTGAAAATTCTACCATTAAGTCAATAAAAATTTTTTGAATCCTCTATTAAAAAAAAAATCAAACCTTTACAATCAACTCTATTCACAGAAGGAAAAAAATAGAAACAAAGCTTTTGTAAATAAAAAGGAGAAAAAAGGTGGAAGGGATGGGAGAACGGGAAAATGAGAAATAACATGTATCACATACAAATTACCTGTACATTTTAATTTTTTGGTACCAGGGATCGAACTCATAAGCTTGCGCTTGCCAGGCAGGCGCTCATGCCACTGAGCTAAATCCCTGGCCCACAAATTCCCTGTACTGTATGCTATCATTTTATGTATCTAAAATGTACCAATAAAATAAAGTTTAAAAAACTTTGTATTCAGTAATTACTCAAAACAGGTTAAAAAAGGAATGAAGGACAAAGGAAGCTACTCAATGTCTTTCGTGATTAAACCCCTGGCCCATAAAGATCATTTGCATAAGGACAAGAATAATAATTTAAACTTCACCAAATAAAAAAATATGTCTAACTAGGGATTTAGCTCACTAACCAGGGACTTAGTGCTTGCCAGGCAGGTGTTAGCGCCTGCCTGGCAAGCACAAAGTTGTGAGTTTGATTCCTGGTACCAAAAAAAAAATGTATGTCTAGGTTGCAATAACTATGAAGTTGGTCAACCAATCCGATTGACTGCATCCACCAAAAACTAATCAACCAACCCAGAAAATAACCAAAAAACACTAGACCCCTTCAAAAAAGAATAAGAAGATGCTGACATCTTCCTGCTTAAAATTTCCCAATACCACCTACTCATTAACCTCAACACAAACCATGTGGCTCTTGCAATGTGCTGTTTACTCCTGCTTCAGGATGTTTGTACCCACTGTTTTCCTAAACTGAAACACTTTTTAAACCTAAACCCAATCAGGTTTCTACGCAGCATTATCCCTCTCAGGTTTCCCATCTTTCTTATGTTTAAGGTTTCTTTATACCACTTAACACCATCCACAGTTATTTAATGCATGTGGCTGTCTTTCCAAATGAAAACACTCCATGGACTACAATTTCACCAACAGTGTCCAACACATAGTGTGATACGTAACTGGAAAAATTAGTTGAATAAACAATATCTAGTCGTTTCATTATTATATTTACTTCTTATGAAGAGGTAAAAAATAAAAGTCCAGTTATTTGGACTTAAAAAATAAAGTCCAGTTATTTGGGATATTCAGAAGCATTTGCTTAGCTGGGTGTGGTGGCATACCTGTAACCCCAGCACTCAGGAAGCTGAGGTGGGAGAACTGTTGTAGAGTTCAAGGCCAGTCTGAACTGTATAGTGAAACCCTGTCTCAAAAAAGGCCACTTGTCTTCTTACTCAGTAAAAGGGCATACAATGTTAAAGCTTCAATCTGTAAGACTTTATGATAGGTGACTCAATGGGTTATTTGATAAATGCACATTCATTACAAAGCTAATATAACTATACGAACAGTTAATTAACTAGTCCATAACATTACATGTACCTATTAACTACTTTTTTAAGTTGCAATGCTTGGTCTCTCGCAGGGTCTTTCTTTGAAACAAGATCTGCCTGTGTAGTCTAGGCTGGCCTTGAACTCAGTTTTTTTTGTTTCTTTTTTTTGGACAGTCTCACTACGCACCCAGATTAGCCTCCAACTCAGGCAGGCAGCCTCCTGCCTTAGCCTCTTGAGTGCTGGGATTACATATGTTTATTGCACCATGCACAGCTCTCACAGGGAATTAATCTGGCTGGTTCCTTGCTGCATAGGTGCTGCCTGAGAACGTATCAGCAATAGAACAGGCATTCAACACATAGCAGTACTTGTTGAAGAATGAACATATAAAATCTATGTTTTTTCACCTAGGTTTTCATATATGCCCAAAATAAAAATTTTGTTTTAATTTAATGCGAAATTGACAATTCCAGGACTTGCTTTTGTCAAAGTAAATGCCTAGGTTATCTTAATGCAGGTAATAAAGGACTCAATAAAAAGTTCAAAACTTCATTTTGATTCCATCTACATTAAGAAAACGAACAGAAAATTGTTTAACAATGTATTTGTTTATTGATTTGCTCAACAATCATGTTAAGGGAAGTAGTTTTATTCCACATTTACCATAAAACTTATGTAACACATGAGTTCTAAAGCTACGAATGTCACTAACGGTGAGCTAACTCAAACTGCTCCAAGCTAGTTTCTTACTACACTCAGAAACACTACTGCGTCATGTAATGAAACCTATGACTGTAATTTGACTGTTAGCATTTTTTTTTCATTTTACACTTCTGTAAATCACTATGTACTAATGTCTTTCTGCAGACTTTAATGACACGTGGTCCTTCCTCTCAAGATAATCACATTCTGCTTAGAGTTAAGGCGTTCCTTTTTATGTGAAAAGTTCAGTATACGTACTTCCTCCACAAACTTCTGATTCTCAATGTTTCATAAGCTAGTAAAAGCCCAAAAACCCCTGTAAAATGTTCCATCTGCTTTGCGATTAATTAAAAACTTTTTAAAGGAGCAGTCAAAATTTAAAAGCTAGTAAATTTTATGCCTATGCCAGTTTAAACAAACTTAAAGTATCTTTCAAAATGACATTAGTCGTGTATAATTTCACTGACTGCTTGGAAGATGTCATATGAGTTCCCAGCCGTTATTTCCAAGTGGACCTTCTGTTTTCAAAACAGTCAGGAAGCACAATAAACCACGGGAGAGAAAACTTACAGAAAAATGGGCAATACAGTCCATCCCGTCCCGTCCTCGGTGGAGGAGACAATTCTACCTCAAAAACTTGAGTACCCCCGAGAACAGTGGTCAAGTGGGGATCGACTCAGATCTGGGACTCTCAGTTCACCACTCCTGCCTGCATCTCATCGCATCGGCGTACAACGACAAGCCTATCTCTTGGCGACCCACTGAAGCGATCCTTGAATTCAAACCTCGCCGCCTAGGGTGCAGCCGTAACAACTTCTAGATGTCAGCAGAAGCCCAAAGCGCAAAGCCGCCATGACCGCACAGCGAAGCCGAGCGCGCCCACAGAAGGCAGACGAGCGCGGAGAAGACAGCGGAGACAAAGACGCTAGGCACCAAGCGGTAGCGCTGCAGGGCCTCAGTGGCGAACGCGCAACGCGGGGAAGAGCAGGCAGGGACCAGCTTAAGGACTTTAGGGCGACCGACGCTGAGCAGCCTCCGCCTGGTGATAACACCAGGCTCTGCCCGGCAGGAACGCTGGCCTCGGGCCCGCACACTGACCCACGGGAGCTCCGTAATGGCGGCGACGGCAGCGTTGGCGACGGCAAGGGCGGAGAACACGGGGGGCGGAACCGCCGCAGCCAGTCACCGCTGCCGGCATCTTTCGAACCAGCCCGAAGACCACAGAGAAAGTGGGGTGAGGGGAGGGCGCGGCGGCCTCCGCGCAGGCGCGACCCCGCAGCCAAAACCCCGCAGCCAATCAGAGACTGCAGCGCACACTAGCGCACGCGCGCTGGGACGCAGGGGGGACGCAGGCCGGACGCAGGCCAGGGAAGCGCTACCCCTCCTCCCCCAAGTCCAAACAAAACAAGGGCGGGAGCGCGCTGCAGGGCCCCAGAGGAGACGTCCCTGAGAGGGGCAGGGGGTTAGGTCGCTGGGAAATGAGGGGACGGAGCGGCCGCTGCAGGCAAACAAAAGGCGCCACCTCCTGGGACCCAAACGCCCCGCCCCCTCCCCTGAGGAAGCAGCGTCGGCGCCCAGGGCGAGCGGCCTCCGCCACCCGCTTTGGGGTCCCGCAAGTCCGCGCTCACGCCTTGCCCGCTTGTTCCGTCCTGCGTTACCTTTGCGCTCCCCCTTCGTTGTACCCGCGCCCCCTAAGACCTCTCGGCACCGCTCCCACCGCTGCTGTCGTCTCCACCACCGCTGTCCTCCAGGCCCAGCCGCCGAGCTCTGGCCGCCCCACCCCCCTGCCCGCGGCTCCGCGCGCGCGCTCCCGTGCCGGCCCCGCCCCCCGCGCCGTGGGGGCGCGCGGACGTGCGTCTCCGGCCGGGCGCGCGGGGGCGCGAGAGGACGCTCCGGGGCGACGGGCGGGGTGGCAAGGGGTTTCTGGGTGCGGATTCCAGGACTCCCGGCTGAAGGTACCGGGTGAACTTCCCGGTGCGGTGTCGGCGTCCTCCGAGGGGCGCGCTTTCCACTTTTTTCTCTGCCCTCCAGTCCGAGGGCTTCATCGATTTTCGTTTTGGGGGGGTCCATCTGCCTTAAAGGGGGACTGGCATTTCCCGCATCTCGTTTTTAGCTATGGCGCCGAAACAAAGAATCCTTCCCGGAAGACCTTGCAATTGGGAAGCCTGAGCGCGGAGATCTCACTGTCTCTCATTCGTCCCCTTAACGAGAACGACGGCTTGGGTGGGGTAGACTTAGGATCAAGGACTGAAAAGTTGACATTAACATAACGGTCTCAACCCCTCTCCCAACCAAAACTGTCCACTACTTTATTATAATAGGCAGCTGAGTTAGTTAGAAATGTTATAGGCAGGCAGACAGCCCTCAAAGGAGCCAGAGCAGAAGTTCAGATACCTTGCACCCTTGGAAGAGACAATCATCTCCTGCTGTGGGCCAAATCTCAAGACAAAAAGCAAAGCAAATACAACCACAGCCTAAGGATCCACAGTCCAAATACTTCTCTGTTACCCTGAGGAAGCCAGGAGTCAGCATCCTACCCCTCTACAGGAAGAGTCACTGCTAAGCTTTCTGCTTACTATGTGACTTTCTCCCCCATTTGCTCCTAATTTAATCAATTTTGCCTGAGCAATTAATCTTGTTTGACCATAGTTCTGTCCCGCCTCATGTTCACCTTGCAAATTCCCATTTTTCCCCACCTTTGACCCATTTAACCTTATGATCTTACCCTATAAAAGTCCCTAGAGAAGATAGTCCTTGGCAACCTGCTTGGGACCCCTTCTGTCTCTCAGAAGCTAGCTTTCTCTCAATAAATATATTTTGTTCTTAATGTCCGTTGTCCCTAAAATTCATTCTTCAGTTTCAGAGAACACGAACTCATACTGGACATAGTAGGTTGGGAGTTTCATGCCCCTAAATTAGTGACAGTTTTGTTGTGGTGCTGGAGATTGAAGCCAGGGCCTTGTGCATGCTAGGCAAGTGGTCTACCAGTGAGGGACACCTCCAGCCCAACTGCAGTAGTTTTAATTCTAGTTAGTCTAGTTAGTAGTTAATTCTAGTTAGTAGTTTTAATTCTAGCAGTCAACTTTGAAACTTTTGTTTAAACTCTCAGAAATTCTGAATTCTTAAATACATGCGCAGTCTATGGCCACACGAACCTGAATGCACCCAATCTTGGCCATGCTGGTGCGTGCCTGTAATCCCAGAACTCTGGGAGGCTAAAGCAGGAGGATCTCAAGTTTGAACTTGGCGGGGATAACTTAGTGAGACCAGGCCTTGACATAAAAAATAATCAGGCAGGGCTAGGGGTTTAGCTCAGCGGCATAAGCACCTGCCTTGCAAGCAGGCGGTCATGAGTTCGATCCCCCGTACCAATAAAAAAAAATGAAAAAGACAAAAAAAAAAAAAAAAAAAAAAATCAGGCTTAGGAGGATGTACCTTACTTCAAAGGCCCTAGATTCAATCCCCATTACTGCAAGTATTTAAAAAACTTTCAAAATTAATTTTATTGGTACACGTATGATATGTTTAATGATCACATTCATCATCAGGAATTTCTACCTACATATAATGTATCTTGATTCTTTTTTTGTTTTGTCTTTTTCGTTTTTATCAGTACCTGGGATCGAACTCACCACCGCACACTTGCAAGGCAGGCACTTTGTATCTTGATTCTTTTTCTCCCCATTTTTGTCCTCTCCAACTTTTTTCTCCCCTCCTTATTTACAAAAGCTTTATTTCCATTTTTTCCTTCTATTCTTTTTTTCCCCTTTTCCCTACTTTCCCTTCTCTTGCCTCCCCTTGTACTATAGCACTATAAAACTGGTCTGCTTAGCATAATTGCCGCCATGTTGAATTGTGACTAGACTTTGTGGTGAGAGACTTGCTGAAACTAGGTTGTACTAAAACTAGGTCTTTGAGTAAACAACTGTCCTGAAAACTGCCCTGGAAACTGAGGTAAACATGTTCCAGAGGGTCAAACTGTGAATAAATAAACAAATAAATGACCACCTGTTTCTTGTGAAATTTTACCAGCCCCCCCCCACCCGTGCTAAAAAGCCTTAAATAGCAATGCAAGCTTCACTTCAGGGCCAGCTGGTTGGAGCATACCCATTGTTAGTGGACGCTGCTGCTGGTCATCGAGCTTGATTATTAATAAACATTGATTAATACTCAATTTGGCCTGTTTAACCTGAGTCTCACTTGTGAAACCACCACAAGTGGTCCCCTTCCCATTTGAACATTTTCTTCCTACTTGCCAATATCTTTCATCTGTTTTGGTCCTAATTAACCCTTTGGGTTCCCAACACAAGAAAAAAAGTATTTAAACACGTGTGCCTGTTGAATGCAGATGTCTTGTGCTCTGGGTCAATGATTTGGGGAGGATAATGTGCAGTGTATGCACCATTGTTGCCTCCTGACTGACATGTTTTGAAATTTTGTGCTTTTCTTTTTTCTTTTTATGCTTGAAATAAAATGGATTCGGAAAAAAAATAAAATGGAATTGGAAAAATAATTAAACCCGTGTCCGATTTATTTCAGTTAAAAAGTATGGTCTCAAGGTGCATATATTTACCTAAAAAATGTCTCAAGTTTATCATTCTTTATGGCAGGGTAGTATTCTATTTATATATAAATGTCACATTTTTTTTTTTGTACCAGGGATTGAACTCATGACCTCCTGCTTGCCAGGCAGGTGCTTATGCTGCTGAGTTAAATCCCTGGCTTAAATGCCACATTTTATTTATCCATTAATCCATTGATGGGCACATGGGCTGCTTGCAAGTTAGCTATTTTAATTTCTGCTGCTATAAACATTGGTATGGGTGTATCACTATGGCAAGATGGTTTGAATTCTTTTTGGAAAATACCAAACAGCAAAACAGATGGGTCAAATGGAACCTCTAGTTTTAGGGTTTTTTAGTAATCTCCGCACTGGTTTCCACAGTGGTTTTTCCAGTTTACACTCCCACAAACAGTGGAGAAAGGTTACTTTTTCATCACAACCTTGGCAGCATTTGTTACTGGTTGATTTCTTAAAATGAAATGGAATCTCAGTATTGTTTTAATTTGTGTTTCTTGAATAACAGTGATAATGAGCATTTTTTAATGTATTTGCTGTTTGTACTTTGTCTGAGAAATGTGTATTCATTTCAGATGCCCATTTTTGGGTTGGGAGATCTTTTTTGTTTTTGAGTTCTTTATGTATTCTAAATATTAGCCCTTTGTCTTAGAAATAACTGTTAATCTTTTCCCCCATTCTGTGGGTTGTTTCTTCACTCTTTTAGTGGTTTATTTTGCTTAGCAAAACCTTTTTAATTGGATACAATCCCAGTTGTTGATTAATATTTCCTGTACGATCAATGTTTTCTTCAAAGTCTTTGTCTACGACTATGTCTTCAAGAGTATTGCCTATTCCATCTTCAAGCAGATTGTTTTATATTTAGATCTTTGATCTAGTTCTATTTTAGTTTCAGGTATAGTGAGAGATATGAGTCTAGGTTCAATATTTAGCATGAGGAAAGTCAATTTTCCCAGTTATTGAAGAGGTTATCTCTTCCAGTGAAGGTATTTGGTCCTTTTGTCAAAGAGTGTAAGTTTGGCCCTTTTGTCAAAGAGTGTGTTTAAAGTAGTTTCTGCATTTTCTATTTTATTCCATTGATCCTTGGTTTTTCTTTTTTTTTTTAGCCACTACCATGCTGCTGTAATCGCAGTAGATTTATAGTATAACTTCACATCAGGGATTGTGATGCCCTTTGCCTTTGTTAC